TTTGCCTTTTTTTTTTTTTTTTAATATATCTTTATTGATTTCAGAGAGAGCAAAGGAGAGGGAGAGAGAGAGACAGAAACATCAATGATGAGAGAGTCATCGATCAAGCCCACAACTGGGCATGTGCCCTGACCGGGAATCGAACCCTGATCGCCTGGATCCCAGGTCAATGTTCAACCTGAGCCATGCCCGGCCGGGCAGAATTTGCTTCTTGTAGATGAGCAAACAGTGGTTTCTTGAGATGGAATCTGCTCTGATAGAGATGCAGTGAAGACTGTTGAAATGACAGCAAAGTATTTAAAATAGCCACAAATGGAGTCGATGAAGCAGAAACAGAGTTTGAGAGGGTTGACTCCAGTTGTGAAAGAAGTTCTGTAGGCAAAATGCTATCAGACAGTGCCGCCGGCTATAGAGAAATCAGTTGTGAAAGGAAGAGTCAGTGCAGCAGACTTTGTTGTCCTATGTTAAGGAATTGCCACAGCCACCCCAGCCTTCAACAAGCCCCCCTCCCCATCGGTCAGCAGCCATCTGCACGAGGCAGGACCCTCCACCAGCAAAAAGGTTACAACTCGCTGAAGGCTGAGATGATGATAGGATTTGTTAGCAAAAAGTATTTATTAAAGTGTGTGTATTTCCTATATGTAATACTATCGCACACTTAATATTAAGACTACAGTATAGTGTAAACATGACTTTTCTATGCACTGGGACTCCCCAGCATTCCTGTGACTCACTTTATTGCAACATTGGCTTTATTGTGGTGGTCTGGGATGAACCTGCAATATCTCTGAGGTCTGCCTGTGTAGAATGTTTATAAATTTAAGAATTATTTAGGAAAAGAATGAGAATTCCAAGGAAGGACTCTCAGCTTGGGACTTACTGTACCAGGGGCCCAGCTGTTGTAAGTAATCACTTAGAACTTCACCTGCTTGTTGTCATTTATTCCTGAATCTTTTAGGGACATGTTGTCTGCTAGGATTGGCATGAGCAGCTGCCTGTGAAACTGACCTTGGGCAGGTGGGCAGGAAAGAGCTCAGGGCAGGCTTTCACTAAGCCAGGGGTGGGGAATGTCTGGCCCACGGGCCATATACAGGCCTGAAAAATCATTTGGTCTGTCCCTGCCAAGGCAATCACAGGCGGAACTTGAAATTCAATAAATCTAGGAGCTTTTTTCATAGCTAATTTTTAAGTTGATAATTTCGTGTGGCCCGCAAATTATGTTAAAAATATCTAAATGACTCTTGGTAGAAAAAAGGTTCCCTGCCCCTGCTAAGTGGTGTAGAGCATTCACCTCGGCTGCAGAGTAGAGGGATAAGAGATGATTATTTCCATTTCTGAGGCTGTGCCACCTTAGCTGCTTTTTAGTTGTAAGAAACAAATACGCTTGGTTTGCCATGGAGATTTATTGTAAAGAAAACATCTTAGTTGGCCTTGATGGAAGCCCGACGTTGCAGACACTAGAGTGACTAGTGCATCTTTTTTTCTAGTTCACATCACCAGCTCCCGCATTCCCGCCACTTCGATGAGTCAGCTTCATCGAAGCTGTTTATCCTCCAACTCTGTTTCTCTGGCGATCTCTAAACTCTCTAGTTCATTCACTTCTTTTAGCTTCATACTTAAAAGAAAGGGTCAGATTGGGTTGTCTAGTTCCTGTCCAGGTGGACAGTTCCCCTTCGGTGGCCTTTGGGTCATTTAAACCGCAGCTTCAGAGTCTCATCTGAAGTACAGGGATCATCCTGTGTGTGTCTGTGGTCACTCAGAGGGAACTGTGTGGCCCGGGAGGTGTTCAGAGCACCAGGCAGTGCTCTCCATCCACGCGTCCCTGGGAGCTCTCCGACTGAGGGGAACCTAGAAACTGCTCATAGCATGCGGCTTCTTGCCTCCCAAAGGCGTAGTTCATGGTCAGCCAGAGCAATAATAGTGTCTTACCTGAGGCTTGTTCTATAGCCTTTTGGAGAAGTGAGTGTTTTAGAAACTAATAGCAACTCAGGTTCATTATACTTCTGATTTTTATCCCTTTTATTTGATTTTTCAAGGCTTTTGCTTTAATTATTGAAATCTTACTAAATGAGAAAGGATCAGAATGTATATTGGGATGTCTGCATGTAGCTAATCCATTAAATGAATCCAAAAAAAGAAAAGTGGATCATTGTGACCTGCATTCCACCTAATGTAAGAGGAGTTAGAAAGCACTTGAGAGTAGAAGTCTTTCTGTACATTTTCTTTAAAAAAAAAATGTTTTTATTGATTTCAGAGAGGAAGGGAGAGAGAGAGAAACATCAATGACGAATCATCGACCTCCTGCATGCCCCCTACTGGGAATCAAGCCCACAACCTGGGCATGTGCACTGACCGGCAATCAAACCGTGAACTCCACGTTCATGGGTCAACGGTCAGCTGCTGAGCCACACCAGCCAGGCTCTGTACATTTTCTGTATCTGACATAGTCAGTTAAGATCCACAGACCTTTACTAAGGGGTTTAAGTATGAAGGTTTTTTTGGGGGTTGGCACATTTTCCTAGGGGCCAAGGAGCTGAAGAATGACACTTTGTAGGTGATCAATGTACCTACTTGATCTTCTCTCCAAAAAATTCAATGAAGACATTTTGAGATCATGAAAAATGGGTTCTGTTTGTTGAGACACAGAAAGTCACATGCGAGTTTTGAAAGGGATCACCATGCAAATAGCACATCTTGATTTCATCAACAGCTTCCCTTAGCTTCACTGTAGGAAAACTATCCTGGTATTATATTTCCTACTTTACTAAGGCTGTTGGAAACTTCTACATGGATCGGAATCCTGGGTTAGATACTAACTTGCTGGGATGTGGTCTCTCAGTTGATAACTGTGAGCAGAGGTGTTGACAACACTGAGGGTAAAGAGTTTGGATGGTATCGGATGGCCATGAGCACCTTTGTGGGATCTGAAGCTTGGAGGAGAGGAGAGAGGAGGCTGAAGGGACAGTGACAAGGAGGTGACCCGCCTGGTCTGGATGGTAGATGTCGAAAAGATTAACAGTGGTTCTAAGCAAGAAGGAAATTTTTAGGGGAAAGTCTTTAAAGCTGTAGAGGGCTGAGAAGGGTAGTGAATTCTCAGAGCTCTCCTCTTTCCCTTGGCTTCTTCCAGTGAAGGTCAGACTGGGAGAGAAAGCAGTCAGCTTGCTGTACCATCTGAGCGTCTTTGTGGTGGATGTAATCTTTTCCATCCTGTCTGCTTAGTGATTGTAGCCTCTATGGGAGGGGAAAATCTGACCTCAGTCCCAGGGTTCTTTGCTGTTTTAGAGCCACATTGTCTCTAATTTTACCTTTTTTTTCCCCCTTCAGGCTGCTTGGTAGGGGCTGTGAATCTCAAATCCAGCAACAGAACCCCAGTGGCACAGGAGTTTGAAAGTAAGTACAGCAAGACTATGCGTTAGGGGAATGGGCACCACCTAGTGGACATCCTGTGGTCTTGCGGCCAACTCAGGACAGACATGCCTATATGTGGAGCGCCAGAGAGTTCTGCCGTGCGTGTGTGTGTGCGTGTGCGTGTGCGTGTGTGTGTGTGTGTGTGTGTGTGTGTGTTTAGCAGGCCGTAGGGAGTGCTGCAGGCTTGAGTGCAGGCTTGAGCATGGCTCAAGTGGGCCTGTCCTGGCACTGTGCTTACACGACAGACATTTCTGTGTACAAGTGGAGTATTAAGGGGAATGTACTCTTTAGTAAAGGTTCTTGCTCACCATCTTTATCTGTTTTCTGGCTGAAATTAATCTTTTCTTAAAAGCTCTTGGAGCCTGGAGATAGTAGGTTTTTAATCGGCACGAAAGGCCTTACCTAGAGCTAGCGGGCCCGGCAGGTGTACAGAGACCTAAGCTGTTCCACTTTCACAGAGTCGTCTTTTTTTCCTTTGCTCTTTAGGTGTGGAGCTGTCTTGCATCATTACAGATTCCCAAACGAATGACCCCAGGATTGAATGGAAGAAAATTAAAGATGCTCAAACCACATACGTGTATTTTGACAACAAAGTACAGGGTACGATCCCACTGTCCTCTCCTTTGTTCACCAGGCCAGGCATGCACTTGTGGCCAGACTTTCTTTCCTCTGACTGGTCCTGCATCTTAGCCAGGATTCATTTTTTTGTTTTGTTTTGCTTTACTTATGGGACTTGCAAACATGTAAAGGTAATAGGAATAGCATATTGAGCCTCCCTAACCCTGTCACCCAGTGTCAGCAAATATAATTCATTAGTTAGGACTCCAGTCTCTCTGCAAAATACCTTTATGAAGCACCAGAGCAAACCCTTTCGTAGGCCATCTTGTTATCATTCGACATTAGTAATGTACGTTAAGCGAGTTAATCAGAAGGATCACAGGGCACAGCAAGGAGACAGCAGCATTTGATGAGCATCTACTGTGCAAGCAGACCACGCGGAGAAGGCCCACGCTAGACCCGCTGGCAGGGTGCAGTCCTGTGTTCGAGCAGAGATGAGCACAGGGTGCTCGGGTGCATGACATAGGGGCAGGGCAGGGCAGGTCATGCAAGGCTGGCAGAAGCAACGCCAGGCAGAGATGTAAAGAAGGGCTAGCGAGCCAGGCAAGGTTGTGAGGCTTGGGGCAAAGGAACGTGTTGGGCAGGAAAGAAGGCTGTGTATCGGATGTAGAAGCGAATGGCAGCTTGGCTTGTTAGCGACACTGCAGGGGCTTAGAGA